TGATTTCAATTATTTCTGCATTATTAGAATGCTCTAAACATGTAGATTTCAAAAACATAACGATTGTAGCGATATTCAACAATTTATTTTTTTTTGTCATTTGAATCGCTCTGTATTTTGAAATAATTTATTTGGATCACTCTGTATACACAATTTTTTTAAAATGCTCTGATTTCAATTATTTCTGCATTATTAGAATGCTCTAAACATGTAGATTTCAAAAACATATCGATTGTAGCGATATTCAACAATTTATTTTATATTGACTTCCTGAAAATTTTTTAAAGGAAAATTCAACTTCATATTCATTAAATGAATCAGACGAATTTCAGATACTTCTTTCAAATGAAAAAGGAGATGTTTCTTCTTTATTACGTTTCGAATTTAAATTATGGAAACAAAAATGGAATCGAGAAAAAATTGAAAATAATTTGATCAATTCCATATGTGTAACGAAAATTCTGGCAAATTGTGACGAAGAAATATTTCCATTAATTAATCGTCTTTTAACTGTTTTTATTACTCTTCCAATGCAAGTGCTGAGAGGACATTTTCCACACTACGAAGACTAAAAACATGGCTCCGGTCAACTATGTCATAGACAAGATTAACTGGACTTGCTCTTTTGAACATTCATCGTGATATTAATGTAGAGGTCACTAAGTGATTGATAGATTTTCAAAATCCAATTGAAAATTAGATTTTGCTTTATAATTTATGTATAACTTGCATAATACAAAAAATGTAATAAATGACATTACTTATGTATCTTGATTATTAAGTTTTTTTGTGTCAGAAAGTTGATTTAGCTAAAAAATGTAAAGAAATATTTATTATTTACTATATATATTATTTCGATAGATCAATTGAATTAATAACCAAAAACATAAATTATTATCTGTAACGTAAAATTTATCTTGAGAATTTTTTTTAAAAAATCAAAAGGGGCATACATTTTGAAAAAGTAGTTTTTTTGCTTAAAACTTAAAAAAAACTAAATAAATTAATAAAGTTTAAAGAAGCTTTTTTTTCTTAAAAGAACATTAAAAAATAAAAATTTTGAAAAAAAACAGAACCCCGGTAACTGTATTTTTTTTGAAATTATTTCTATTTGAAAGAAAACCTTGAATTTTGGAAATAATCAATATCTAAGATACGAGTGATCAAAAAAATTTGAAAAAATTCATGAAAGTATTTTTTAACGGTATTAAAAACATGAAAAGTTTTCAAAAAAATTGGAGAGGTCGACCTTAAAACCTGTTCTGGTATGGAATGCGCCACATATATATATATATATATCCAAGATAATTATATGATATGCAATGACCCCCCCC